AGAGTGGGAATTAGAATGACATAGATTGAGCCTCAGGTAATCTGGTTGAAAACAAATTGAATTAGAAGATAAACAGGTCAAAAAGGAATATTCTCAGCTGCTTGTTTTCCATATGGATTGTTTTGCCACCTTTAAAGTTTTAAAGCAGTACTGTCAGATTTTCATAAAATTTTAGGTATGTTTCAAACTTTTGTGCTTTTTAATCTAAATTAATTCTTAGATGATTAAGAAGCAATGTAAATGTCTCATTATCAAGCCATTGCAAATATATATATATATATATATATATATATTTTTTTTTTTTTTTTGAGACAAAGGCTTGCTGTTGCCCAGGCTGGAATGCAGTATGGCGCGATCTCGGCTCACTGCAACCTCCACCTCCCCGGTTCAAGCAATTCTCTGCCTCAGCCTCCCGAGTACTGAGATTACAGGCGCCTGCCACCATACCTGGCTAATTTTTATGTTTTTACTAGAGACGGGGTTTCACCATGTTGGCCAAGCTGGTCTCGAACTCCTGACCTCATGATCCACCCGCCTCAGCCTACCAAAGTGCTGGGATTATAGGCGTGATCCACCACACCCAGCCTGCAAATATTTAAAAAGTAGTAAACAGTGGCCAGGCGTGGTGGCTCACACCTATAATCCCAGCAATCTGGAAGGCTGAGGCGGGTGTATCTGAGGTCAGGAGTTTGAGACCAGCCTGGCCAACATGGTGAAACCCCGTCTCTACTAAAAATACAGAAATCAGTCAGGCATGGTGGCACACCCCTGTAAGCCTAGCTACTCAGGAGGCTGAGGCAGGAGAATCGTTTGAACCCAGAAGGTGGAGGTTTCAGCGAGCCGAGGTCGCTCGCAACACTGCTCTCCAGCCTGGGCGATAGAGTGAGATTCCGTCTCAGTGGAAAAAAAACAGTTGCACAATATGATTCCTTAAGAAACATATATATGTGTATGTGTGTGTATGTGTGTGTCTGTGTGTGCACAAAAAAATTCTCAAAGACCTAGAGAAGCAGTAAAGTAAATCCCTGGCCACCAGAATAACTAAACATACAAAAAACCAGCAGTTGGAAACAATAATTTTTGACTCATTTGTCATGTTGAAGAAATTTTTATTGCAAACATTTTGTTTTCTAGCAAACTATTTTGACCATGTCATGTCATGTCAGTAGAGTGCCAGAGAAGTAACTGATTAGGATACTAAACTGGTGCAGGCTGGTAAGATAAGTGATAGGTCAAAACAGAGCAAGGAGAGCTGAAGAGAAATGGGGGAGGTCAAGGGAGGAGCTTAGAGTGCATCTCACGAATACTGAGTTAGTCTTTCTTTAAAGAATGGCAAAATTCACCCTACATCCAGACACAGGCCTTTGAAAGCAGGAGGACTACACCTGACATATAACCTGAAATTAGATGATGGTATTCTGAATGAGAGGGCTCTCAACTTTAAAAAAAAGTTTTTAGGATTGACATTATCTTCTTTACTCCAGGTATGTGCTTAGCAAACCCTTTCTTCAAACATGGTTCAAAAGCAAATCACATTTTCCATATTCCCTATTAAATTATTATATATTATGAGGGAGGGCAGTATTCTTAATGACAAAATATTGTGTTTAAAAAGAATCCCTTCCTAAAAGAAATCAGGAAGATAATTCCATTTACAATAGCTACACAAAAATAAGATACTTAAGAATAAACTTAACTAAGGAGGTTAAAGATCTCTAAACTGAAAACTATAAAACCCTGATGAAAGAAACTGAAGAAGACACAAAGGAACGGAAAGACATTTCATGTTCATGGGAGAATTAATATTGTTGAAACACCCATACTACCCAAAGTGATCTACAAACTACAGTCTCTATATAATACCTATGATATATTTCACAGAAATAAAAAAGACAGTCGGGCGCGGTGGCTCACTCTGTAATCCCAGCACTTTGGGAGGTCAAGGAGGTGGGATCACCTGAGGTCGGGAGTTCGAGACCAGCCTGACCAACATGGAGAAACCCCGTCTCTCTAATAAAAATACAAAATTAGCCAGGCGTGGTGGCACATGCCTGTAATTCCAGCTACTCGGGAGGGTGAGGCAGGAGAATCGCTTAAACCTGGGAGGTGAAGGTTGCAGAGAGGCGAGATTGTGCCATTGCACTCCAGTCTAGGCAACAAGAGTGAAACTCCGTCTCAAAACAACAACAACAACAACAACAACAACAAAAAACAAATCATATGGAGCCACAAAAGACTCAAATAGGCAAATAAATCCTGAGCAAAAATAACAAAGCCGAGGCATCACAGTACTTGACTGCAAAATATACTACAAGGCTATAGTAACCAAAACAGCATGGTATTGGCATAAACACAAACACAGAGACCAGTGGAACAGAATAAAGAACCCAGAAATAAATTCATGCATCTATGGCCAACTGTTTTGCAACAAAGGTGCCAAGAAAACACACTGGGAATAAGACAGTTTCTTCAATAAATAGTACTAGGAAAACTGGAAAGTTACATGCAGAAGCCGAAGACTAGACCCTGTCTCCACCATATACACAAATCAACTCAAAATGGATTAAAGACTTAAATACAAAACTTGAAACTATGAAATTACTAAAAGAAAACATAAGAGAAATGCTTTACAACATCGGGTCGGGCAAGGGTTTTAAAATAAGATCTCAAAGCATAGACAACAAAAGCAAAAAATAGACCAATGGGATTATATCAAACTGAAAAGCTTTTGTACATAAAAAGGAAGCAAGTAACAAAATGAAGAGACAATCTCCAGAATGGAAGAAAATATAAGCAAACTATACATCTCACAAGGAGTTAATATCTAAAGAATATATAAATAACTTAATTCAACAATGAAAAACAAATTTTCTTGATTTAAAAGTGGGCAAAAGACCTTAATAGGCATTTCTCAAAAGAAGACATACAAATGGCCAACAGGTACATGAAAAAATGCTCAACATCACTAATCATCAGGCAAATGCAAATCAAAATCACAATGAGATATCACCTCACTCTAGTTAGAATGGCTATTAACAAACAGGCTGGGGCACGGTGGCTCATGCCTGTAATCCCAGCACTTTGGGAGGCTGAGGCAGGTGGATCACTTGAGGTCAGGAATTCAAGGACAGCCTGGCCAACATAGTGAAACCCTATCTCTACTAAAAATACAAAAATTAGCCAGGTATGGTGGCACTTGCCTATAGTTTCAGTTACTCGAGAGGCTGAGACAGGAGAACTGCTTGAACCCAGGAAGCAGAGGTTGCAATGAGCCAAGATTGCACCACTGCACTCCAGCCTGAGTGACACGGTGAGACTCCGCCTTTAAAAAAAAAAAAAGACAAAAGAAAACAAACGTTGGCTAGGATATGGAGAAAAGACAACACTCACACTTTTTGGTGGAATTACAAATTAGTACAGCAGCTATGGAAGACAGTCTTTAATCCATTTTGAGTTGATTTGTGTATATGGTGGAGACAGGGTCTAGTCTTATTCTTCTGCATGTGACTTTCCAATTTTCCCAGCACCGTTTATTTAAGAGACTTTTTCCCAATGTGTGTTCTTTGCACCTTTGTTGAAAATTTTTACCTCAAAACATTAAAAATAGAACTACTGTATGAGCCAGGAGTCCCACTAGTGGCTATGTATTCAAAGGAAATGAAGTCAGTTACATTGAAGTGGTATCTGCCCTCCTATGTTTATTACAGCACTATTTACAATAACCAAGTTATGGAATCAATCCAAACATCTAACAGTGAATGAATGAAGAAAGAAAATGTGAGGCTGGGAACAGTGGCTCATGCCTGTAATCCCAGCACTTCGGGAGACTGAGGTGGGTGGGTCATTTGAGGTCAGGAGTTTGAGACCAGCCTGAGTAATATGGTGAAACCCTGTCTCTACTAAAAATACAAAAATTAGCCAGGCATGGTGGCAGGTGCCTGTAATCCCAGCTACTTGGGAGGCAGAGGCAGAAGAATCGCTTGAACCTGGGAGGCAGAGGTTGCAGTGAGCTGACATTGCATCACCGCACTCCAGCCTGGGGGACAGAGCGAGACTCAGTCTCACAAAAAAAAAAAAAGAAAAAGAAAAAGAAAAAAAAGAGAAAATGTGGTACATATGGATAACAGAATATTATACAGCTGTAAAAAAGCATGAAATCTTGCCATTTGTGAAAATACGGTTAAACCTGGAGGACGTTATGTTAAGTGAAATAAGCCAGACACAGAAAGATAAATACTGTATGATCTGTGGAATCTAATTTTTTTAAAGTAAGAGTTTATATCCTACAAGCAAAGAGAACAGTGGTTATCTGAGACTAGAAAGGGGATAGGGGAAAGGAGGAGAGGGAAAGGCTGTCAACAGGTACAAAGTGACAATTAGATTGGAAGAATAAGTTCTGGTGTTTTATTGCACAGTAGGGTTGCTGTTAACAATAAGGTATTGTATATTACAAAACAGCATGAGGTGAGAGATATGCTAAGTACCCTGATTTGATCAGTATACAACATTTGTTTGTATGGAAACACCAAACTGTAACCCAGAATATGTATAATTACATATTATATATATGTGTATGTGTGTGTCTGTGCGTGCACAAAAAAATTCTCAAAGGCCCAAAGAAGCAGTAAAGCAAATCCCTCACCACCAGAATAACTAAACGTACAAAAAGCCAGCAATTACAATGAAAATTACAAAAAAAAAAAACCCAAAAAACATTTACAACGTGTCAATTAAAAAAAGAATCCTTTCCTGTATTATTGTTACTAAAATGGGCAAAATAGCACCTTCCTATTTATTACATCAGAGAAATGGTGAAGTAACTGAAAGAATGTAAGTTAAGTAGGTGAATTCTGGAGAACACACTGTAATTTTATCTTTCTTTTTTCAGATAAAGCAACAGAGCAACTTACTCAGCTTAAAGAGTACCTATATCATAATTTTTTGAAGTTTGCATTTGCATTTCTTATTGCATCACTAACTTACGAAGTTATAACTCTTACCTTGAAATCTTCCCAAGTTTTGCTCACTTAACAAGCTTGCAAACCACAGTCCGGCATTTTCCTGAGGCAAATTACCATAGCAGCATCCAGTCTATCAACCTTTAAAACAGAAAGGTGAATCCTAAGAATTTTGTGATAGTGATAAAGCTAGAAGCCAGTAGAAAGCACCAGGTCTTCTCTGGTTCTGATGTAATTATTCTTTTTTTTGTTTTGTTTTGCTTTGTTTGAGACAGTCTCGCTGTCACCCAGGATGGAGTGCAGTGGCACAATCTCCAATCACTGCAAGCTCCACCTCCTGGGTTCACGCCATTCTCCTGCCTCAGCCTCCTGAGTAGCTGGGACTACAGGTGCCCGCCACCATGCCCAGCTAATTTTTTGTATTTTTAGCAGAGACGGGGTTTCACTGTGTTAGCCAGGATGGTCTCGATCTCCTGACCTCGTGATCCGCCTGCCTCCGCCTCCCTCCGCCTCCCAAAGTGCTCGGATTACAGGCCTGAGCCACTGCGCCCGGCCTCATGTAATGATTCTAAAAGACCCCCATGACAAAATATTTTATCTTAAAGATTGTACTTGTTCTTTACACTTAAAGAAACTGAGTTTCTGATCATGCCAATCATTAGATGGGAGGCCTCAGACAAGTCTTTTAGCGTCCCTGGGCCTTAATTTCCATTTCCGTAAAAAGTCAGGAGTGCCTTAGATGATCTCCAATTTCCTCTCCACTCTGATTTCTCATCCTATGCTTCCTAGTTCATTTCTTCAATGTTGTGTGCCTCAAATCAGGAAGAAAATCTGGCAGAAGAGCAAGAATTTCACCTGTATTATTTTATTATTTTCACCAGCTCACCCACCCACCCTGTTTCTATTTTTCCACATAAGAGCCTTGGAGTTGCTTTTGATTTTTCCCTTTTATGTACTTTAGACAAATTATGACATTAATTCATAAATACTTATAGAACACTTTCAAAGTTTTACTAATTACTTCTTCTGCAGATACTGTCTCATTTGATTAACACAATAGTTTGGGCTAGTAGGTATTATTTTTAACTTATCTGGCGAGGAAACCAAAGCCCAAGAAAGTTTAGTGAGTTAACTGCCCAGAATAACACAGATAGCAGTTATAGGACCAGATCTTCTTTTTTTTTTTTTTTTTCATTGCACTCTGTCACCCAGGCTGGAGTGCAGTGGCACAATCTCGGCTTACTGCAACCTCTGCCTCCTAGGTTCCCAGTGATTCTCCTACCTCGGCCTCCTGAGTAGCTGGGATTATAGGTGCGTGCCACCACGCCAGGCTAATTTTTGTATTTTTAGTAGAGACGGGATTTCTTTTTTTTTTTTTTCTTTTTTTTTTTTTTTTTGAGACGGAGTCTCGCTCTGTCGCCCAGGCTGGAGTGCAGTGGCCGGATCTCAGCTCACTGCAAGCTCTGCCTCCCGGGTTTACGCCATTCTCCTGCCTCAGCCTCCCGAGTAGCTGGGACTACAGGCGCCCACCACCTCGCCCGGCTAGTTTTTTGTACTTTTTAGTAGAGACGGGGTTTCACCGTGTTAGCCAGGATGGTCTCGATCTCCTGACCTTGTGATCCGCCCCAGAGACGGGATTTCACCATGTTGGTCAGGCTGGTCTTGAACTCCTGATCCCGTGATCTGCCTGCCACAGCCTCCCAAACTGTCGGGATTACAGGCATGAGCCACTGTGCCTGGCCTATTTATTTATTTATTTATTTGAGATGGAGTTTCGCTCTTGTTGACCAGGCAGCGTGATTTCAGCTCACTGCAACCTCCACCTCCCAGGATTACAGGCATGCGCCACTACACCCGGCTAATTTTGTATTTTTAGTAGAGACAGGGTTTCACCATGTTGCTCAGGCTGGTCTTGAACTCCCGACCTCAGGTTATCTGCCTGCCTCGGCCTCCCAAATTCTGGGATTATAGGTATGAGCCACTGTGCCTGGCCTAGGCCTGTTTTTTTTTTTTTTGCATTTTTTCGTAGAGACAGGAATTTGCCATGTTGGCAAGGCTGGTCTTGAACTCCTGACCTCAGGTGATCCACCCACCTCCGCCTCCCAGAGTGCTGAGATTACAGGTGTGAACCACCGTGCCTGGCCAGGACCAGGTCTTCTGATTCCGAAGTCTTCTTTTCACAACACTAAAATCTCTTAAGGCAGATCCAGGTTTTGTAGTGCCTGAGGTATCTATATTTTGATGACTATCTATCTTCAAGGATAGGAGTACAAAATTGCAATACAACACAAAGTATGATCCTGTTGAACACACTGTTAGGGCCCCTCTCAGAGCCTCCTTGGGGTCTATTCAAGGGAAGGGCCTCTAGGGTTAATCTTTAGGGTTAGGTTTCATGTAGTGTTTTCTATATGGTAAGACACTGCAAAATAAATACTAATTTTTTTTTTTTTTTTTTTTTTTTGAGACAGAGTCTCACTCTGTTGCCCAGGCTGGACAGGCTGGAGTGCAGTGGCACCATCTCGGCTCATTGCAACCTCCACCTCCTGGGTTCAAGCGATTCTTCTGCCTTAGCCTCCCAAGTAGCTGGGACTACAGGCACGTGCCACCACACCCGGCTACTTTTTGTATTTTAAGCAGAGACAGGGTTTCACCATATTAGCCAGGCTGGTCTCGAACTCCTGACCTCATGACCTGCCCACCTCGTTTTTTTTTTTTTTTTTTTTGAGATGGAATCTCACTCTGTTGCCCAGGCTGGAGTACAATGGTGAGATCTTGGCTCACTGCAATCTCTGCCTCACGGGTTCAAACAATTCTCCTGTCTCAACTTCCTGAGTAGCTGGTACTACAGGCGTGTGCCACTACGCATGGCTAATTTTTGTATTTTTAGTATTGGCAGGGTTTCACCATGTTGGCCAGGCTGGTCTCAAAATCCTGGCCTCAATTGATCCGCCCACCTCAGCCTCCCAAAGTGCTGGGATTACAGGCTTGAGCCACCACGCCGGCCTGCAATAAATACTAGTTTTATTATCATAATAACCCTGAGGTAGGTATTATCCTTGTTTTACAGAGTTGGGAGTCAGGCTTGGAAAGGTAAAATGACTTGCCTGAGGACATAGAGCTGGTAAGTGCAAGAATCAAATCTGGAACCCAACAGATCTGGCTCTCAGGTCTGTATTGTCAATCTACCACCTTATGGGGCTCTATAAGCCTACTTTTGAGGTTTCCTGGGATTCATCTTATTTAACCACTTCTCACTACATTCCATAGAACAGGGCCTTATAAATGTACATCTAAATCAGACTCAGGATCCTCTCTCTCTAACTTAATTCTGCTTACCATCTACCTGAATGCTGCTGCCACCCTAGCACTGCTCTTGTAAGTCCTGGCTGCCCCAATGACCCGAAATGCCTTTCCTTTCTCCGTGTTTATGTAAATGTAAAAAGCAATTACTGTATTACTAGTAGTACTCGGCCGTGGATGCCATACTGTCTTCTAACACACTGAACTGTTATCGGAAAGCACATAGGACCTCTCAGGACCTGATCCTCCAATCTGTACTCTTCTTCAATCTCAAGCTCTTCATTTGCAAAACAGAAACCATAAGGCCTACCTCCCCGGGTTGCTATGAGAATTGAGGGGGAGGGTAAGTGAGGGGGTGAGTCCTGGAAGGGAGGAAGACACGAGGGAAGGGCAGGGTTCTGGCAAGCAGTAAGTGCTCAACAGATGTTGGTTAATTTGTGCCTGACAGTCTCCCCCAAAAACTTGCAAGCTCTTTGAAGGCAGGGGCCTTGCCTCATACTTTTTCAGTATTTCTCAAAAGTCCTGGACATCAGAGACACTCCATGGTCATCTAATCACTTCAACACACACACGTTGGTTATCCGGTCAAAGCGGCTATTACGATAAAAACAGACTCTGGGGTGTGACTTCAAATGCTGGCCGCTGACAAGCTGGGCCGTCTGGAAAGTTACTTCACCTCTCTGAGCCTCGGGTCCCTTTTTACAAAATGTTCACGGCAGCGCCCGCTTCACAGGGCTGTGAGGATTACAGAGGCTAATCCGGGTGAGGCGCATCAGCCCCAGCGCCGCCTGCCACGATTCTATCCCGCCCCACACACGCATCGTCCATAGGCGTCCGGCCCCTGCATTCTCGCTTCTCCACGTGGCCGAGGTGCACACCCCAACCCACCGGCCAGTCTCCCCGCCCTCTTACCTGCTCTTCTTTCCCGACTCGTCTTTAATACCCACCAGGCGCCAACCGCCGCGGGCCTGGCTCTGCGGTGGCAAGTTGCATGGGTTCCCCCTTCAGGGCCTCCCGATGAGCCTACGGGGTCAGTTCTATTACTGTCGCCACTTCAGAGGGAGGAAACAGGCCCGGAGGGTTGGGGAACTTTCCGAGGTCACTCAACTGGTGTCAGGCCCGGATTGGAATCCAAACACATCCCAGCCCGTGCCCGGCTCCACAGCGCCGGCCCCCGGCGTCTTCCCGGGTGCCAGCGGCACCCGCATCCATTCAAACGCTGCCCAGTCCCCGCTCCTCAGACGCTTCCCGCTACTCCGCGCGCTCGTCTCCCCCCACCCGTCAGGGTCAGGCCTCTAGGTGACTTTTCCTATTTCTCTGGCAGAAACTGAGGGGTGAGACCGACATTTGTGTTCCGAAGGAGGGCAGGTTGCTTAGAGCTCGTCAGACAAGGACCAACGGGCGAGTCTGGAAGGGTGCGGTAGCTCCGCGTCGCTCTGCAGGGGCGCAGCGCGCGGGTCGGACTGGGACGCCGGTCACGTGGCGGGGAGGGGGGCGCCGGCGCGCGCGGGCGAGCTAGAGGGCGCGCGCGGCTGAGAGCGTGTGGAGATGCGGGCTGCAGTTCGGATGTCTGTGTGGCGGGGAGGGGGCGGCGGCCGGGAGAAACGACTCCGCCCCCTGTGCGCATGCTCGGGCCCCGGCGGGTTATAAGGCAGCCTCGCCGGCCGGACCAGACAAAGTGGTGAGCTGCTACGTGACTGGATGGCTGCGTAGGTGCTGGAACAAGTAAACGAGGCAGCGAGCGAAGGACGGGAGTCGGACCCTGGGCCCGGTGGAACTCCAGCCCGCGCCACCACGTCACGCACACGCTCGGCGCTGCGATCCGCGCTTATAACGGTTAGTGGGGTAACAGCCGGCGGCACGCGGCGCGGACCCCACGGTGCCCTCGCTTCCCTGGTGGGGTCGGAGGGGACCTCCGGGGTTGGGAGACTTTGTCTCCGGGGGAGGGAGGCGGCCCAGCAGAGGGCATCGTGGTCACAGGCAGTCGCGTGGCCTCGGACTGCAGTGCTGGTGAAGGAGACCTTGAGGCGCTGGGGACAGCGCCTCTCTCAGCCGAGCCGCGGGCCTCGTGGTCATATGCCGGCCCCTGGCCTGGCCGAGGAGTTGGGTCGTAGTGCCCGGTGACGTTGGGGAAGTCCCCTTCCCCTCTAAGTCTTCAATAGGCTCCTCCAGAGACGCTTTGATCTGGAAAAGGGATAACATGAGGCTGCTTCATGTGGTACCTCCAGACTCTCCTGGCCGCTTCTGTTCCAAGGGAAGGGACTCGGGGCAGGAATTATTTATGACTCGTGACATTGTCCGCCCCAACCTTCTTGGCCGACCGATCCTTGCCCCACGTGGTGACTTGCGAGAGTGATGCGGAGAGCCGCATTCCCCACAGCCAAGGCGTGACTGCAGGGTTCGAGTAGACTTTGCGGAGGGGACGGGGCAGCCCGCAGACTTCTGGGAGTGATGCTGACGGGGGCTCTTTGTCATTCAACCTGTGGCTGCCAGGGTCCGCCGCAGCACCCTTCTACTCATGGACTTAAGGCGGCCCTGTTGAGAGAAATCTGGAGGATAGCGTTTACACTTGGTCCGATGCAAGCTTTTTGTTCCAAGTACGTCTTTTTTTTTTTTTTCCAGCATGCGTTTTAACATTTTATTACTTTGTCGTGACATATTTGATGGAACAAGCAGTTGCCAAAAACTAGTTTGTAATTAATCTAAACCAGGAGACAAACTTGTTACTACTTTAGTCTTTCCTTGGGTTTCCAGTGGCTGATTAGAAACTGGGCTGCTACTGATAACAGTGAAATGTTTACTCGCTACTTTATTTACTGTAACTTACTATAACTTGTTTTGATTTTTTTTTTTCCAAAAATTACTCTGGTTTCAACAATTTTTTTATCTCAACCACCAGCCCAGTGAGGTGATGCCAAGACTATGTATCTTCGGTTTTTTAGTTAGGTGTTAAATAGTACTCATAAACGCAAGTCTTACACCCTGGGGCACAACTTTGCCTTCAGATTGCCATAGAAATGACCAACAATTCAAGATATTTAGCACTTAAAACACGTGGTGAGTAAGATTTATTATTTACACAGAAGTTGAATATATTTCAGTAATTCATTTTGGGTTTAGGTAGATGCTGTTGTTTCATCAGATTGCAGTTACCTTTGTGAAATATGCAAGTTGATCTGAGGAGCATTTTGTAAGATTTTTATAGCTGAATAGATTTGAAGGTTTAGTTGTGCTTAACGGGGTAAACTGTAATGTCCTTAAACAGATTAAAAAGGGAAAAAATCATCACTATAGGATGAAAACAAATGATTAGTGTTTCACTAATTTACATCTTTTAGCCTTTAAATATTAGGGCATATATTAGCCCTGGAAAGGACCCTAATGACCCTGATCAGGATCCCTTGTTTTACCCATAAGGAAACTGAGGCTGGAGGGATTAAGTGATCTAACATCTTAGGTCTGAAAACTTGTTATGGTTTGGTGGGAACTATGTGTGTCATTGAACTCATTTTTGTTAGATTGACACTCCTGAGTTTTCTTTAGATTGTAAATTAGGATACAAATTATCTCGGCCTGAAAATAGATTTCTCAACTCCTTATGTTCTGCATTCCCATCGTGTTTTCAATTCACTTTACAATGCTCAGTCCTATGCAAGATTAAGATCTCTGTGTAAATGCCTTCATAGCTGTCTTGTTTTTGTTGCAGTTGAGAGGACTAGGAAGATGGAACTTGGGTATGAGGAAAACAGTCCAGATTGTTGTGAATTTTGTATGTTCAGTTTGTTATTGGCTACCAGGCACCGTGAGAGACTTAGGATTCAGCAGTGAACAAATTTCACCATTTGCCCTCCTAGAGTTATAGTCTAGCTGGAAAACAGATAAATATATAATTGCCACAGCAAATACTCTTTACAAATAAGTAGGGACTGTTATACTATGGTAAGTACAGGTTCCTGTAGGAACAAATACTGTATTGTGTAGGTGTGAGAAGACACCCAACTTAGTATAGAAGCAATTTGGGTAGACCTCTCTGAGGAAATACTGTTTAACCTGAGACTTCAAGGATGAAAGAGCTAGCCAGGCAAGGCAGTGATGATGGGTGGAAAGAACATTCCAGACATGAACACTGAAGCTACACTCAAGAGAACAGGGTGTAATGCAAGAGCTGAAATAATTTTACCAAAGCTAAAGCATAAAGTCAGAGAATAGAAAGAGATAGAAGTTGAAGAGATAGTATGAGAAAATGGAGGGCCTTGTAAGCCATTTTAAGGAATCAAGGAGGGTAAAAAAATTAAAGGGATTTTTAAGGAATCAAGGAGGGTAAAAAAATTTAAAGGAGGCTCTTATTTTGAAGCTGATTGAAAGCAGTTTAAGGATTTTCAAGCTGGGCACTGGTGGCTCACACCTGTAATCCCAACACTTTGGGAGGCGGAGGCGGGTGGATCACTTGAGGTCAGGAGTTCAGGACCAGCCTGGCCAACGTGGTGAAACCCTGTCTCTATTAAAAATACAAAAAATTAGCCGGGCGTGGTGGTGTTCTTCTGTAATCCCAGCTACTTGGGAGGCTGATACAGGAGAACTGCTTGAACCCAGGAGGTGGAGGCTGCAATGAAAACTGAGATCACACCACTGCACTTCAGCTCAGCTCAGGCGACAGAGCAAGACTGTCTCAAAAAAAAAAAAAAGGATTTTCAGTGGGGCTGGAGATAACCTGATTGGATGTTGCGTTTTAGGAACATCACTTTGTATGCGATGTGGAAAACAGCCTGAAAGGAGGCGTTGGAGTGGTGTGAGACCACAGTGATGGACAAGACAGGATTTGGTAGAGAAACAGACAGGATTTGGTGGAAACCAGATGTGGGAGACTGGGAAAGTCAAAGACGTTAAGGATATAATGTTCAACATGTTATATCCTTATATCCTTTCTGGCTTGAACGAATATGAGTTTATTAGGTGGTATTTGTTTGTCTCTGTTTAACCAACAGGGACACTAAGAAGTTGCGTGACTAGACCAGGGCTGCTCAGCTTGTAAGGCTTGGAGACAAAATTCAAACTGTTGTTTTCAGTTTTTGTTGGCAACCCCTGAGAATGGTGTTTTTCTTTTTTCCCTTTTGAACAGTTAAGTATGGAAAATTTCAAAACACAAAGAATTGAGCGACACGATTTATCTCTTTCCCTATCTGCTTTCCCCAGACCCTACTGGATTACTGTGAAGCAAATTCTACCAATGATTTCATTTGTTTTATTTCAATATAGATATCTGAAAGATAACTCTTGAGAAAATCATAACCACAGTGCCATTACCCTACCTTTAAAAATTAACATCACCAAATATCCAGTCAGTATTCAAATATTCCTCAGTTGTTTTTAAATAATTGGTTGGTTTGATTTGGGATCCAAACACGTTAACAGATTACATTTGTTTGGGATGTCTCTTAAACTTTTTAATCTATAGGTTCCCTCATCTTAATTATTTTCCTCGTAATGTATTTTCCTTATAAGGTTGGTGCAAACGTCATTGTGGTTTTTGCCATTACTTTTAATGGTAATTTAAAAACCACAATGACGTTTGCACCAACCTAATATTTGTTGAAGGAACCAGGCCATTTTTCCTCTAGTTTCTCTCATCCTGGATGTTGATGAATATGTCCCTCAGGTATAGATTTAACATGTCCTAGTTTAATATATCCCTCTATCCTTTGCTGTAAATTGGTAGCTAGATTGAAGACTGAACAAATTTAGTTCAGGTTTGATTTCCGAGTGGGAGTGTTGGGGGAGAGGACAAGCATAATTCCTAGATATTGCTGTGTACTTCCTTCAAGAGGCATATATTTGGTTATCCCTCTTTCTACTACATCAATAGCCTATTTTCATTATTTCACTAGTGGTTTGCAAGTGGAATTAATTATGGCTTTAATTCTACCATTTATTTTTAATTTAACTAGAATACCTCTATAAAGAAAGGTACAATTTGAATAGGAAGGACAAGTTAAATTAAAGTTTATGTTTTAATACAATATGGTATGTTATTGACACTGTCTTTTTCTGGAAAGGTATTTAAATGTATCGAGGTATATCCTCTTAAAAGGCCACTATTTTAAGTTGTAAAAGTGTTTTTAGCATTTGATGTTAACATTTCAAATGGCTTTTAGTATTTAGAATATTTAAAATTTTTGTCCTTAAATTGATGGCGTTTCTTTTGGTCTTTCATGCTCTTTCTTGGAGGACTTTGCTGTTCCCACAGCTTTTAGGAAATACCTAGTAGAATCACTACTAAATCCAAACCTCTACGATTGTAAGTTCCTCAAGGACGGGGATTGAACACTCTTATTGATGATCTGCTTTTCCAGTTGCTTCCTGGGCATTTCAAACTTAATATGTCACTTAAAGCTCATTATCTCTGCCTGTTCTCAAGTTTCCTTCATCTCCAAACCTAGTTTTTTTTCTTCTGATTCTACCATTCTTGAAGGTAGCCTGGCTTAAAACCTCTGAATCATCTTAATGTTTCTCCTAGTAGGCCCCCCTGCCCTACCACATGCAGTTTCTGCCAATCCCTTGTCCCTTT